AGGGCATGGAAGGGGCAGTGAGCTGCAGCAGGGCCCTGGCAGCTGTATGGATTAACTAGAAAGATGGGAAAACCTGTCCCACTGGGATAAAAAGAAAGGAGATGAGGTCAAATATGAATATTTTATAGAGCGTGGATCAGGATGAGCTCAGGATTTGAGGAGGGCAGAAAGGAAGCTGCCAAGCTGGTGTCAAAATTTTTAGTTAATAAGGAAGAATGACCAGGAGATGATAACTACAAGGTGAGGTAGAGGATGAGAAAGTAGGATGGCCCAAGTCTTGAAAGAGTAGAGATTTGTACACCTGAATGGAAGGACCTTGCTTATGAAGCCAGTTGTGCCCATTACTACCCCGATGCTGGTATGGAAGAAAAAGCCCTGCCCCCTCCAGAAAAGATGCTGGAAAGGTCGAGACAAAAGAGAGGGGGAGTCATGTGCACTGCCAACAGGGTCACGGGATCTTCACATCAAAACCCACCTCCAGCTGCAGCTGGCCTGGAATACAAACACACACACACACACATGTGTCTCACATGCTCAGAAGGTCCCCGGACAGGAACCTAAGGCCTTTCTCACTTGAGTCCAGTCACATTACTGCTGCAACACTGCCTACCCTTAAAAGTTTGTGAAAGGATTTTATAATGCTTTTCAAACTAATCAGCTATGAATACTAATTTAACTTACCTTTTGTCCATGATTTCTCTGCAATTGTCATATATAGTCGGTAACTCTTATGAAGTGGAAAAAAATCAGACCTACAGGTATTTTCATATGTCATCAATATTTTATGAGTACCAAATTTGGAAATTAAAAAGTTGACAAGGTATTATGTTTTGTTGCTGTTTAATTAGATCTGTATTAACTTTGATTTGGAAGCCACAGATTAACTTTTTCATTTTCACGGGTCTCTGAAAAGCTCTTAGACCCTAAGTCCAGAGTCTCTATAAAAAGGCTCAGCATTGTTGGATGAGTCTGGAAATAACATTATAAACCAGAATTGAGGCTCTTCTTGATGATGGTTCAGAACCACCAGTAGGGCTGTTTGCATCTGCACCCAGTGGATTCATCTGCTTCTGCTTTTTATGGTTTCTTTGTCACATTGTCAGCTGTCACTTTGCACCATGTCACTTTGCCTCTAGTAAATTTCTGTTTGCAATTTTCAACTCCTAATTTCGCAATTTTCAATTCCTAATTTGTTCTAGTTGGGAAAACAAACATGTTTGTTAGAATTATTCTTTTAATTCTTTTTTTTTTTTTTTTGAGAGGTTTTTGCTATAGGGCACATGTGCTCGCCAGACAGAGGGAGACAGAGAGACAGAAAGCGAGATATCACCCCCCGGAGGGATGGCCACTCTGCAATCCCTTCTCCTCCATTCTCCCTTCGGGATGGGATCTTTGGGCACGCACGCACATGCACCTGGAGTGAGTTTTAAGCCACCGGATCCAGGATGCAAACCACGGTTGGCTACATGGGAGTCCAGTGACATAGCCATTACACTAACTGCTGGTCCCTAGAATTATTCTTTAAAATAAAAGCAAACTCAGAGTGCAGGGGTAAGACTTCTTGTTGAACAAAGTTTGAGGATTTTTGTACATCAACTTTTGATTTTAGAACAGCTATTTTAACTGTTCAGGACTTGTTCTTCAGAGTGGAAGCCTAACCCAGTTGGGGATAGGGGAGGCTCACATATTACATGAAACATCCATTGCTAGATGAACAAAAATATCTGGGTCATTCTTAAGTGTGTCTTACCCAAGAAGGTAAAGCAATACCCTGTCTCCTCTTTGTGATAGAAGTTGCTCTTGCCTGGACCAGAAACTCAAGAATTTGTATGATTCATCTTCTTCTGAAAGTGTGTAAATTACCTCATAATCAATTCCAGCTTGCCAGTCAGCTTAATATATTTGCCTGAGCCACAGGAAAATAAATTAACAAAATAATTTGAGGAAAAGAATCAAGGAGAAAAATAGAGAGACAAGACATTTATGGGACACAGAAATGGATGATTATCTGTTAAAGAGGTTTTTTGTTTTGTTTTGTTGTTGTTGTTGTTGTTTGCTATAGGGCGCGTGCGCGCACCAGAGAGACAGAGAGACAGAAAGCGAGAAATCTTCCCCCAGGGGGGATGGCCACGCCGCAATCCCTTCTCCTCCATTCTCCTCTCGGGATCTTGGGCACACACGCACACACGCCCGGCGTGAGTTTTAAGCCACCAGATCCGGGGTGCAAACTGCAGTCAGCTACATGGGAGTCCAGCAACATAGCCATTACGCTAACTGCTTGTCCCTCTGTTGATAACATGTATAGTATCTTCAACTTGACTGGTGTGAAGTATATTCATGTTCGGTAACTACACATACAAGTTGTAGTGATGTATAATGATTGAATGTATAAAAATTTTTAAAAAGTTAATTAACAAAATAATATCTTTTTAAAAAGCTTTGAGATAGAAATCACACACTGTCCTATCTATTAAAAGTCTTTTGAGGGGACCAGCAGGTGGCATAATGGCTACGTTGCTGGACTCTCATATAGTTGATCACAGTTTGAGTCCCAGACTCAGCGAATTGAAACACACCGAGCGCATATGCATGTATGCCCAAAATCCCAAGAAGGGATTGTGGCATGGCTATCCCCCTGAGGGGTGATTTCTCACTTTCTGTCTCTCTGTCTCTCTGTGTCTCTGGTGAGTGCATGTACCCTATACCAAAAATGTCTCTAAAAATTAAAAAAAAATTATTTGTTTCTGTGGTTTATAATAAGTTCAGAATTGCACAACTATCTACACAGTCCATTTTAGAACATTTTAATTACTCCAGAAAGAAACCTCATAACCATTAGCAGTCACTAGCATTCCAAACCTCCCAGCTTTGAGCAACCACTCATCTAGTTTCCATCTCTATAGAGTAGCTGATTCTGAACACTTGTTTTAAACAAACCTTAAACATGATCTTGAACTGTGAATTTGGAAATGTGTTACATAGGCCTACCTCTAAGGCAGAATTCTCAGAGTAATTCACTTACTGTTCTTCAGTTTCCTGTCACTTACGGACGTGTAATAATACTGCCAGTACAGGGTTTAGGCTTAATGTCTATTAAGCATTCTGAAATTTTCGAATAGCACAAAGTTCGACATTGGACTTAAAATAGCAAGTGACATCTCAAAAACATCCTTCTGCACATGGCTTCTCAATCCATCAACCTATCCTTATTTTATATAGCCTCTACTATCACAGAAATGCATTGTGTAAAGCTAATATTTTCTCTTTTTTTTCGAGAGGTTTTTGCTATAAGGTGCGGGCGCTCGCCAGAAAGACAGAGACAGAGAGACAGAAAGCGAAAAATCACCCCCTGGGGGGATGGCCACGCCACAGTCTCTTCTCCTCCATTCTCCTCTCGGGATCTTGGGCATACACGTACACGCGCCCAGTGTGAGTTTAAGCCACCGGGTCCAGGACTTGAACCACGGTTGACTACCTGGGAGTCCAGCAACATAGCCGTTATGCTAACTGCTAGTCTCAAACTAATATTTTCTTGATTGAATTAATAAGTGCACAATTGAAATCTGCATTACTCTAAATCCTTTTTTAAGCTAATAGTATAAATCTCTACTTCTCTTAGCTTTTACTCAGAATTCTAGTTCTGTATTAGTAACAGTTTGTCTCCTGTGTTTCCCTTTCCTTCCTGTCTGCACTTAATTTCCGGCAGCATCACAACGAGTGGTGCATTAGCCAGGTCCTAACTCTATGACCATGAATAATTCAGTTCTGTGTCTCAGTTTCCTCATTTTAAAAATGGAAGTAGGCCCAGCCACAGTAGTGCAAGGGATAGGGCCCTGCTTTACAACGGTGAGGCCACATGAGAGAACCAGGTTTGGTTCCCAGATCAAGCTAAACCGGCCAGGCATGGTAGCACATGACTGTAATCTTAACTAATTGGGAGGATGGGCTGAAGGATCACAACTTCAAGACCCAGTCAAGAAATATATCTCTCTCACACATTAAAAGTAAAAATTTCTATGAGAATAATTATAATACCTGCCATATGGAGTTGCCCTGAGAATTAAATAAGCTAAAGCAGTTAAAGTGCACATTCACCAATACAGAGTAAGACCTGAATCTTCCTTGTCGTTGCTGTTACGACTTGAAATGTCGCAGCCAGCTAGCTTGAGGGAGGCTCAGTAGCTTTAATGTAGAGATCCGGAAAGTTAAGAGAAATGTTACTTAGTAATAGCACACCTGGTAAAGTGCTTTACAGTCTGTGTAAGCAACATGTCCCTGTTCACTCCACACCAGTTATGATTATATGTGTATCACAGCTAGAGGAGACTTGGAGGTTGTCCAAGGATTGTGATTTGTGTAGACCAAATGGAACAAAAGTTGGGGTACTTTCCATCTTGGCAAAAGGTGAGCTTAGAATAGAAAATAGGAAGGAGGTCATGGGGGTGGGAATCAAATCCCGGACTCAGCAGCTTGAGAAACATGCTGGGCATGTGTTCATGTACACCCAAAATCCCAGGAGAGGTTGAAGAGAAGCTATTGTGGTGTGACCAACCCCATAGGGGGTAGTTTCTCACATTCTCTCTCTCTAGCGATCACACATGCCCGCTGACAAATTAAAAAAAAAAAAAGAAAGAAAGAAAAAGAAAAGAAAAGAAAAGAAAAGAAAAGAAAAGAAAAGAAAAGAAAAGAAAAGAAAAAGAAAATAGGGGGAAAACCTCATTTCCAGGAAAAAGGAAACTATGAACAAAGACGCAGCAGTGGCACAACAGTGAAGCGTCTGTGAGCAGTAGGTATCAGTAGTGCTCTGTGATCAACACCACTGCTCTTCACAACTGCATCGTGGCTCGGGGTAGAATCAGAGTACATCCCATAGCCAGGTATATTGCAATCATCTATTGCTGGAGGAGGCATCTTTCAAATGACACAGCCCATCTGGAAATTCTCCCTTGTCTTGTTAACGAATGTCGATTTCAAGGTCCTTTTTTGTTTTGCTTTTGCAGAAGGAAACTCCACTTGCCAACGCTGCATTCTGGGCAGCCAGGAGAGGAAACCTGGCCCTCCTGAAGCTATTGTTGAATAGCGGTCGGGTGGATGTGGACTGCAGAGACAGTGTACGGTTGGATGCGGTATATGCATGGCCAAACCACAGCATTCCTCCTGCTGGCACCAGAGCACCCCACCAATGCATGTCCTCTTACCATGCTTATTTACTGCTTCATGTCTTTTCTCGCTTTATCCTTTTCATAAAGTCTAAGGGACTGTGAACTTAAAAACATATGAGAGGAAGTAGTCAGAAAGGAAAGGAAACAATTACATGCATAAAACAAAAGGCAGCCAC